TCTTTTGTTTTATTTAAAAAATAAAATAACAACATATGCCAGACAGTGTCCAGCTTTGCACAGACCCTTTCCCAGCATCCCCTTCACCGGAGACGCCCCTCAGGAAACAGAAATGAGTCTGTAGAAAGCACGCTGCATTCCCAGTTCATTAGAACTGCCCAGCCATGCAAATACAAGGTACATTTACTTGGTTATAGACTTGAAAATAAGTGGTTTTTGCAGATTGAGACTGTTTCTTCATGTGAAGTTGGAGAAAGGGAAGTACAAAGACAGGGACCATTTACAAATACCATAGACAGAAGTTGCAAGTCAAAAGCATAATACAGCTGTCCTCTAACAACAGTGAGCAAAGGCCAGGACACAGCACTGGCAACTAAATGACTGTCTGGACCTGCACTTCAGCCTCTCTTCTTTGTTCCTACCTCTGCCATGTCCAGATGGTGACTCAGGCAGACAATCTGCGGGATGACACTAAAAGTGAAATCATTCACCTAACACCGCACTCTTACCCCTTTCCCTAAGGCTAGCTGGATTTGAAGGCTGCTTCCTTCTGCCNACACCGCACTCTTACCCCTTTCCCTAAGGCTAGCTGGATTTGAAGGCTGCTTCCTTCTGCCCATTTGCATCTTTCCCCCGCTTGGGGGCTTTCTTGAAATTAATTTTAACCCAATGTTACAGTATGACAATGACAATATATTTGTGAGTGTGTGTGTGCGTGCGCACGTGCAACATTTTATTCCCCCTTGCCCGGGTCTTCCTTAGTCCCACTTTCCACTGGGGACAAATGCCTTTGCTCAAGAGTTTCCATGTAAATGGTTACTATGTTGGCTGAAAGAGGTATGCTTTCCATAGCTCCTGGTATGAAAAGGTATTTTATAAAATCACCCTTGGTCATCATCAGTGAACACAGATTCTCTTTATTTATAGAGGAAATGGATTATAATTTTTTGCTATGACCCCTCGAATTGAAAAGACTAATTATTGAGCCTTTATTATACTCTAGGCTCATGTTGAGTGTTTGGTTGAATTTGGGAGGTGGGTGTGTAAAGGAAGACATAATGATGATGAGAAATAGTTCCACTTTCCTCAAAGTAGTCACTGTAGTACAGTGTGATGAGTGCTGAAATGGAGACACACAAAGCCATGTAGAAGCGTGGGGGAGTTAAGGTGGTGTTTGAGACGAGCTGTAAAGAGTGGGTTTACCAGGTGGAGAATATTATTTCATTATCACCTATTACCATCATCAGAGAAATGTAATTAGAATAAAGGAAAGGAAACTTAAAACCAATCTATTTGAATGCATGTTGGCAATACTAGTGACATTTTTCTAAGGGGAAAATAATGAATCTATTTACTAAGGTGAGGTTAGAAGTTTTGTTTTTTTTTTTCCCCCTCATAATTCTCATTTATTCAGTATGTTATTTCAAGTCATTCCTTGAGAAATTGAAAATTGTCATATAGTTACTGGGTATATCCTCAAACGTTACTGGTATCTCACCTTAGGGACTCTTGATCTATTAAATAGATAACAAAAAAAGGTCTAAATTTTGCTTGCTTGTTTATAAAGTCCTATGATTATTTCCATCTCTCTTTTAGTAGTGATTTAAAAAAATATCTCTAGGATACCTGCTGTGTGGCATTAAGTAAAAAAAAAAAAAAAGCATGCATCTGAGTTATTGGAAAATCATGTGTATTTTATTTCCCATCAGGAAAAGTCTGCAGTCCATAAATCAACGAAGAAGTCAAAGGAAGCACAAAATGTATCAGATAACCCCGACTCTACTGACTTCATTTACCCTTACAATGAGCTGCTGGTTTGGGCTGTGCTAATGAAAAGGCAGAAGATGGCCATGTTCTTCTGGCAGCGTGGAGAGGAGGCCACGGTGAAGGCGGTGATTGCTTGTATCCTCTACCAGGCGATGGCCCAAGAAGCTAAGGAAAGCAACATGGTGGATGATGCGTCAGAAGAGTTGAAAAACTATTCAAAGTAGGAGTTCTCTCTTCACTTCATACTAAACATCGACAGTTCTTAGAATGGTTAGACACTTTTATCTCCCTTACCTTTGAACTTGTAAGACAAGTGGACTATTGCCATGCATTTCATGGTCTCTTTTATTAAAAGGGTCTTTAAGTATTTTAAGGAGCTTTGTGGAATAAAGGAAAGGGAGGTGGTCTTCAGGTCAGGGGACTTGGGTCCTAGCCTAGCTGCGTACTAATCGGGAGAGTCAGGGAACCCGTCTAATGGCCTTTAGTTTCCTAACTATAAAATGTTCAATTAATGATTTTGGTAGTTTCTCCCAACTCTCAAACTCTTTGATGCTAAGTTAAATTAAGACTTGTGTTTATTTTAAGTATATCTCAGCTGGGGAAATAATTCATTGTATTAAATTCATTGTAGTAAAGAACCAGAGAGTAATGGTGGAATATGGAAATGTTAGAAATGTTTTCAATTTTTTAATTACTAAAGTGGTATAGTAGTGAAGAAAGAAATCTCGAATTCATGCAAACTAATTTATAATTTCAGTTAAAAAAATTTCAGAGAATGACAGTGTTGATGTTTCAGAGAAAACAACCTCCTGGAAAATTACCTGAGGGTATCTCTAGGTTTTCTTCCTTAAGTCATCTATATATTTCGTAATCAAAAAAAAGAAAAAAAGAAAAAAAAGTGTTTCCACAACTTTTCTTAGTTCATAGTTTAGTTCTGAACATCTTTTTGGTCAACGCATTCTTCATTAGATCTTACCAGGGAGTCCTCAACCAAACTGTATATAGCCTGTCATATAATGCGGAGTGGCTTCTCCCCATAAATAGTTCAGGTGTACCCTAAATTCTATAGGCTACAGTGTAAACCCCCTAGTTCTGTTCCTTTAGGAAAAGGAAAACCCTTCCTTTCCTGAGCAGCAATCCTTTTAAAACAGTTTCAGCAAACTGAGATTATTAAATTGCTGTTGGCTCTTTCTTTATAAAGCCTAATTAATTATTTTCCGAGTGTCATATCCAATCTTGTAGAATGTTTCTGAACATTCTAAAATGTTTCTAGAAATGCAGGGCTGTCACCTGCCTTTGTTTTCCACATTCACCACTGTGTTCTTGCAGACAGTTTGGCCAGCTCGCCCTGGACGTGTTGGAGAAGGCATTCAAGCAGAATGAGCGGATGGCCATGAAGCTGTTGACCTATGAACTCAAGAACTGGAGCAACTCTACGTGTTTGAAGCTGGCTGTGTCGGGAGGCTTGCGACCCATTGTCTCACACACTTGTACCCAAGTGCTACTGACGGACATGTGGATGGGGCGCCTGAAAATGAGGAAACACTCTTGGTTAAAGGTAAATTTACTTGCTTTATGGAGTTTAACATTAGTTTAGTGTGAAATTCTGTACTCTTGAGTTTCATTTTTTGGTTGTTCCAGAAGTGTATCTTCAGGAAACCAATTAATATCTTTGATTCTAACAGATGAGTTGGGATCTTCCCAGAGGAACCTCCAAAAACTACTTTATCTCCCACTGCCACATTTCTTTTCAGAAATGGGGACAATTCCATTTACTCTGCCAACCACAAAGACCTTCTTGTCTGAAGGTGGTTAGAAAGTAAAAGCATATACAAACATATGCAAGGTTTTGTTATTACTAAATACCATTACCTCTGATAATTATAACAAAGGTAAATGAGATTTTTGGTGAAAATTGTCTTGGCTTAAAAATACTAACAGATAATAAACCAAATAAAATGAGCAATTTCTGTTGTTCTGCTCATCCAGTGTGTTGCAGGGGATAAGTGGCTGTGCCCTAGGCTGCCCTCAAATGCATTGTTCCCACCACTAACCGTCTCTAAATTCTAAGCCTCATCCCTCATTTTGCATTATCAAAAGTAATTTTGTTGACTACTGAGGACATTTAACCTTTTACATCAAACCTAAGCTTAAAGCTTTATTTTATGGTCAAGCTTAAGAAGCATATATGCTGACAAAAGTGTATGAGAGAGGATAAGGCATGAGTATTAAGAGCTACATAAAACTATATTTTATGTTCAGTTTTATTCTTCCTAGGGTTTTTATTTATTTTTATTTATTTTTCCTTTTTTGTCTTTTTTTACTGACCGGTAACGGGATCGCAACCCTCGGTGTCGCGCCCGTACCGGGGACCGGCAATGGGATTGCAACCTTCGGTGCTGCGCCCACACCGCGCTCAACCAGTGAGCGGGAACCGGTCTCCACATGGGATCCGAACCCTCGGCGGGNACACCGCACTCTTACCCCTTTCCCTAAGGCTAGCTGGATTTGAAGGCTGCTTCCTTCTGCCCATTTGCATCTTTCCCCCGCTTGGGGGCTTTCTTGAAATTAATTTTAACCCAATGTTACAGTATGACAATGACAATATATTTGTGAGTGTGTGTGTGCGTAACACCGCACTCTTACCCCTTTCCCTAAGGCTAGCTGGATTTGAAGGCTGCTTCCTTCTGCCAATTTGCATCTTTCCCCTGCTTGGGGGCTTTCTTGAAATTAATTTTAACCCAATGTTACAGTATGACAATGACAATATATTTGTGAGTGTGTGTGTGTGCGAGCAGCAATCCTTTTAAAACAGTTTCAGCAAACTGAGATTATTAAATTGCTGTTGGCTCTTTCTTTATAAAGCCTAATTAATTATTTTCCGAGTGTCATATCCAATCTTGTAGAATGTTTCTGAACATTCTAAAATGTTTCTAGAAATGCAGGGCTGTCACCTGCCTTTGTTTTCCACATTCACCACTGTGTTCTTGCAGACAGTTTGGCCAGCTCGCCCTGGACGTGTTGGAGAAGGCATTCAAGCAGAATGAGCGGATGGCCATGAAGCTGTTGACCTATGAACTCAAGAACTGGAGCAACTCTACGTGTTTGAAGCTGGCTGTGTCGGGAGGCTTGCGACCCATTGTCTCACACACTTGTACCCAAGTGCTACTGACGGACATGTGGATGGGGCGCCTGAAAATGAGGAAACACTCTTGGTTAAAGGTAAATTTACTTGCTTTATGGAGTTTAACATTAGTTTAGTGTGAAATTCTGTACTCTTGAGTTTCATTTTTTGGTTGTTCCAGAAGTGTATCTTCAGGAAACCAATTAATATCTTTGATTCTAACAGATGAGTTGGGATCTGACATAATGATGATGAGAAATAGTTCCACTTTCCTCAAAGTAGTCACTGTAGTACAGTGTGATGAGTGCTGAAATGGAGACACACAAAGCCATGTAGAAGCGTGGGGGAGTTAAGGTGGTGTTTGAGACGAGCTGTAAAGAGTGGGTTTACCAGGTGGAGAATATTATTTCATTATCACCTATTACCATCATCAGAGAAATGTAATTAGAATAAAGGAAAGGAAACTTAAAACCAATCTATTTGAATGCATGTTGGCAATACTAGTGACATTTTTCTAAGGGGAAAATAATGAATCTATTTACTAAGGTGAGGTTAGAAGTTTTGTTTTTTTTTTCCCCCTCATAATTCTCATTTATTCAGTATGTTATTTCAAGTCATTCCTTGAGAAATTGAAAATTGTCATATAGTTACTGGGTATATCCTCAAACGTTACTGGTATCTCACCTTAGGGACTCTTGATCTATTAAATAGATAACAAAAAAAGGTCTAAATTTTGCTTGCTTGTTTATAAAGTCCTATGATTATTTCCATCTCTCTTTTAGTAGTGATTTAAAAAAATATCTCTAGGATACCTGCTGTGTGGCATTAAGTAAAAAAAAAAAAAAGCATGCATCTGAGTTATTGGAAAATCATGTGTATTTTATTTCCCATCAGGAAAAGTCTGCAGTCCATAAATCAACGAAGAAGTCAAAGGAAGCACAAAATGTATCAGATAACCCCGACTCTACTGACTTCATTTACCCTTACAATGAGCTGCTGGTTTGGGCTGTGCTAATGAAAAGGCAGAAGATGGCCATGTTCTTCTGGCAGCGTGGAGAGGAGGCCACGGTGAAGGCGGTGATTGCTTGTATCCTCTACCAGGCGATGGCCCAAGAAGCTAAGGAAAGCAACATGGTGGATGATGCGTCAGAAGAGTTGAAAAACTATTCAAAGTAGGAGTTCTCTCTTCACTTCATACTAAACATCGACAGTTCTTAGAATGGTTAGACACTTTTATCTCCCTTACCTTTGAACTTGGAAGACAAGTGGACTATTGCCATGCATTTCATGGTCTCTACTAAACATCGACAGTTCTTAGAATGGTTAGACACTTTTATCTCCCTTACCTTTGAACTTGTAAGACAAGTGGACTATTGCCATGCATTTCATGGTCTCTTATTAAAAGGGTCTTTAAGTATTTTAAGGAGCTTTGTGGAATAAAGGAAAGGGAGGTGGTCTTCAGGTCAGGGGACTTGGGTCCTAGCCTAGCTGCGTACTAATCGGGAGAGTCAGGGAACCCGTCTAATGGCCTTTAGTTTCCTAACTATAAAATGTTCAATTAATGATTTTGGTAGTTTCTCCCAACTCTCAAACTCTTTGATGCTAAGTTAAATTAAGACTTGTGTTTATTTTAAGTATATCTCAGCTGGGGAAATAATTCATTGTATTAAATTCATTGTAGTAAAGAACCAGAGAGTAATGGTGGAATATGGAAATGTTAGAAATGTTTTCAATTTTTTAATTACTAAAGTGGTATAGTAGTGAAGAAAGAAATCTCGAATTCATGCAAACTAATTTATAATTTCAGTTAAAAAAATTTCAGAGAATGACAGTGTTGATGTTTCAGAGAAAACAACCTCCTGGAAAATTACCTGAGGGTATCTCTAGGTTTTCTTCCTTAAGTCATCTATATATTTCGTAATCAAAAAAAAGAAAAAAAGAAAAAAAAGTGTTTCCACAACTTTTCTTAGTTCATAGTTTAGTTCTGAACATCTTTTTGGTCAACGCATTCTTCATTAGATCTTACCAGGGAGTCCTCAACCAAACTGTATATAGCCTGTCATATAATGCGGAGTGGCTTCTCCCCATAAATAGTTCAGGTGTACCCTAAATTCTATAGGCTACAGTGTAAACCCCCTAGTTCTGTTCCTTTAGGAAAAGGAAAACCCTTCCTTTCCTGAGCAGCAATCCTTTTAAAACAGTTTCAGCAAACTGAGATTATTAAATTGCTGTTGGCTCTTTCTTTATAAAGCCTAATTAATTATTTTCCGAGTGTCATATCCAATCTTGTAGAATGTTTCTGAACATTCTAAAATGTTTCTAGAAATGCAGGGCTGTCACCTGCCTTTGTTTTCCACATTCACCACTGTGTTCTTGCAGACAGTTTGGCCAGCTCGCCCTGGACGTGTTGGAGAAGGCATTCAAGCAGAATGAGCGGATGGCCATGAAGCTGTTGACCTATGAACTCAAGAACTGGAGCAACTCTACGTGTTTGAAGCTGGCTGTGTCGGGAGGCTTGCGACCCATTGTCTCACACACTTGTACCCAAGTGCTACTGACGGACATGTGGATGGGGCGCCTGAAAATGAGGAAACACTCTTGGTTAAAGGTAAATTTACTTGCTTTATGGAGTTTAACATTAGTTTAGTGTGAAATTCTGTACTCTTGAGTTTCATTTTTTGGTTGTTCCAGAAGTGTATCTTCAGGAAACCAATTAATATCTTTGATTCTAACAGATGAGTTGGGATCTTCCCAGAGGAACCTCCAAAAACTACTTTATCTCCCACTGCCACATTTCTTTTCAGAAATGGGGACAATTCCATTTACTCTGCCAACCACAAAGACCTTCTTGTCTGAAGGTGGTTAGAAAGTAAAAGCATATACAAACATATGCAAGGTTTTGTTATTACTAAATACCATTACCTCTGATAATTATAACAAAGGTAAATGAGATTTTTGGTGAAAATTGTCTTGGCTTAAAAATACTAACAGATAATAAACCAAATAAAATGAGCAATTTCTGTTGTTCTGCTCATCCAGTGTGTTGCAGGGGATAAGTGGCTGTGCCCTAGGCTGCCCTCAAATGCATTGTTCCCACCACTAACCGTCTCTAAATTCTAAGCCTCATCCCTCATTTTGCATTATCAAAAGTAATTTTGTTGACTACTGAGGACATTTAACCTTTTACATCAAACCTAAGCTTAAAGCTTTATTTTATGGTCAAGCTTAAGAAGCATATATGCTGACAAAAGTGTATGAGAGAGGATAAGGCATGAGTATTAAGAGCTACATAAAACTATATTTTATGTTCAGTTTTATTCTTCCTAGGGTTTTTATTTATTTTTATTTATTTTTCCTTTTTTGTCTTTTTTTACTGACCGGTAACGGGATCGCAACCCTCGGTGTCGCGCCCGTACTGGGGACCGGCAATGGGATCGCAACCCTTGGTGTCGCGCCCGTACCGGGGACCGGCAATGGGATCGCAACCTTCGGTGCTGCGCCCACACCGTGCTCAACTAGTGAGCGGGAACCGGTCTCCACATGGGATCCGAACCCTCGGCGGGAGCGCCGCTGCGCTCCCAAGCGGCACACTCTCCAGTGCGCCACCAGGCCGGCCCGGTTCCTATAGTTTTTAAAAACATAATGTGTCCAAAAGAGAATGAATGTTCTAAAAAATATATTTTTGGTAAACAGGCTATAGAAAACTTAAAAAAATGATATAAGATATAAAATATATAAAAGAGTTTACACATTTCAATTTCCACTGATGAGATTATAGAAGTAAGAAAAATGCCTGTCAAAAATGAGCTAACATAGATTCCTCTTTACAATTGTTTCCAGAAGAAGTTCTCCTTTGACCTGCTTTGATTTCAGCCTTGGAGATGATGAAGCAGTGATGTGGATGGGTCCACCTCTAGCTACACAAGCTCAGGCAACTTTTGGCAAAACTCTTTTCAAATGTTCAGGGAGTGAGATGGCCTATAGATAGCTGGTAGTTTAAGAAATGATTTTCCCCACGTGTGTGTCTTCTACATACCTTAGTGGACTAGAAATCCTCACTACTGAGAATTTAATGAATTTTTATTCTTCATTTACTTTACACCAAAAGAGACTTAAGGGAAGCAAGACTAAACGTTTTGCCCCATAACAGAGAGTTAATAAAGAGGACTGAATTAGTTGTTTAAAGTCTCTGAGCTGCAGTAAACCATTATTAATTATTAATTTTTCGGTGCTTGGCTTTTGAGTTTTGGGAACACATTTGCAAGTAATTGTAAGATGTTCTGGTTAGACTAACTCCAAGTGGATGAAGACTGCAGGAAGACCATGTAGAGTATGTGTATGGGAAAACTCGTTTAAATGCTTTGAGCATGATAGGCTCTAACATATCCCTTGAAGATGGGATATTGATGTCATTGAATGCTGTGTCACAACCCAGTTGTTCTATCATGGACAAGGGCAGCAAAAAATGTGCGGCCTCTTCAGGAAGTGGGTTAGGAATTAATTAATGTAATATTATCGTTGTTCGTGGTAACTATGGTTTTTCCAGACCTAGAAGAGTATTTTGGGTTCCACATATGAAAACACACACACACACACACACACACTCTTATTAGTAGAACTGAAGAAAGTCCAGAGAATCTGCACAGATCAAGCTTTAAAACAAAATAATAAAAGGTCATTTCAGCATGAAAAAAATGAGGGTTGACAAGGATAGGACTTCAATTTATTTAATCATAAATGGTGGGAAGTCAGATTTAATCTTATTTTTAGTCACTGAATCCCAGAATATTAGGGTTTACTTTTAGCCTGAAATAGTGTTCAGCAAGTTGATTTTCAGAGCATTTAGTAAATCTTCTAAACTCTTTTACTTTGAGAGGCCATACAAGTTGAACATAAAAATTCTTTTGAAAAGACTGATAATAATTCAAGAATGATAACAATTTAATGGAAAAAATAGGGGATGTCTGGATCTATTCATTTAATTTTACTGGCAGAGAAAATATTTTTGTAGGATGGAAGATGGATCTAACAGAAATGACACTTGGTAAGTTTTTATATTCTTGATTTTATAATATGAATACATTTTGATGTATTTTATGTGGTAATGTCTACTTTATAGTTTCAAAAAGCTGTTAAAGCAGTGTGTGCTCATTGAAAAATAATACTTCTCACTGCTCTGCTCTGGTCCCCCTAGGGGTAAATAATAACAGTGTCATAGGCATACTTTAAAATTTTTAAATGCATATATGTATACACATATTTATTTTAAATTAATTTTTTTTTTTACAAAATGGTATTACTTTATATATTGTTCTATAATTTGCTTTCTCTTCACTTAGCAATACAGCATGGATAATGTTTCATTATATTCAACATTGTGTTTGTCTTTTTAGTGGTTGCGTAGTATTCCATCTGTCCCAAACCAAATATCCCTCTGTAGATGGACACTTGGGTTGATACCAGGTTTTAGCTTTTGTAAGAAACTGTGCAATGAACATTCTGATCCATATATACGTGTACTGATGAGTATTTCTAAGGGAGACACTTCTAGAACTGAAATTAGAGTCAAGAAACATGTGTAGAATCAAGATATAAGTTGAATTGGGGATTGCTCTGACTTTTATATATAGTTAAATTCTTAGTTTTGTTATTGGAATAGTACGTACATCTTGTGTGACCCATACTACTTGGTATGCTTTGCTTTCTTTTGCAGATCATCATAAGTATTCTTTTACCACCTACCATTCTGACTTTGGAATTTAAAAGCAAAGCTGAGATGTCCCATGTTCCCCAGTCCCAGGACTTCCAGTTTACGTGGTATAACAGTGACCAGAACCCCAGCAATTCCAAAGAAAGTGCCTGTATGGTTAGTGCAAAATCACAGTGAATTTAGTTTTCATGATATTGACTGCATGCAAACATACACTTCCATGAAGTATATTTATAAGTCATCTCCTGAGCAAAAATTTCTGTTGCCACTATTTTAGGCCAGTGATGACAGATGGTCCTGGGGTTATACATTATTCTAAAATGCCTCTGATTCATCGGTCAAGCATTTAGTTCTCTTCTTCTTAATCATATTATACTATGATCAGGTACAGCATGGACTATAGACCTAATTAAATCCCATATATAATTAGGGAAAATATTCCATTTCTACCTCAAAGTCCAAATCAAAGTCTTTATTAAATCTCAACAGCTGTCTCACTTGTATTTTCCTTTGTGAATAATAGAATAACAGACTTGCTACTTCTCTAAAGCTACAATGAGGAATGCCTCATGTCTTAAAAGTCTTTATTTATAAAGATAGAGGATTAGAATTTGTGTTGAACTTCAGCGTTCCACTGCACAGTCTTTTCATTTGTTATATCCAGTGGCTATGAGTAATTTCACTTGAGTTCTAGATGCATACGCTTTTATGGGTAACTTGAGCTACTTCTCTTGAGTCCCATCTTCACTGCAAGATGTGTGTGCAGTGTGCTGTGAAAACTCATACACAGCTGATCCTTGAGCAACGGGGGGATAGGGGCGCTGACCCCACAGTCAAAAATCCACATATTACTTTTGATTCCCACCAAACTTTACTAATAGCCCACCAATAGCCCTTTTAGGTAGCCTAGTGGACTGGTTAGGTATGCATTCATTCATGACATACTTAACCCCAAATTTTCCAATAAAGTTTTCAAAAAAATCCAATCCATGCGTAAGCGGATCCACGCAGCTCAAACCTGTGTTGTTCAAGGGTCAACTGAGGCAGGTTTTTTTTTTTTTTTTTGGTGGCTGGCCAGTAAAGGGATCGACCATCGGACCCTTGGTGTTAGCAGTACCATGCTCTAACCAACTGAGCTAACTGGCCACTCCAACTGTACTATTTGCTTTTTTTTTTTAAAAAGATGACCGGTAAGGGGATCTCAACCCTTGGCTTGGTGTTGTCAGCACCACGCTCAGCCAGTGAGCAAACCGGCCATCCCTATATAGGATCCGAACCCGTGGCCTTGGTGTTATCAGCACCGCACTCTACCGAGTGAGCCACAGGCCGGCCCACTATTTGCTTTTTATGTCTCGATTGGGATCACTGCTTATAAAGTTGTTATTTATTGTGAGGTATAGTAAACATTTTCTGTGGTTCTTAATAATTTAATGAAGCATCTTTATCTAACATTTTGTCTAATGTGCTTTTTGCATTGATGAGATATTTGTTATAATATTTTAGAACATGTTTGGTAAATATTAAATGAAAACTACTTAATTATAATTTTTTTATCTCTGCATCTGTTAAGATTGGTTGGACATCCACTCTGATTGGGTGTGTTTGGATATGTTTGTGTTTCTCTTCTTTCCCTCCCTCCCTCCCTCCCCTCCCTTCCCCTCCCCTCTCTTCTTCTCTGCATCTAAGAGGACAGGTACATTCTAACCTCTGTAGAATGTGTGAGAAGTTCTCCCTTACAAAGCTGGGCCAGTCAAGCTGGACTTGTCACATTTGTCACTGTACCTGCTATGTGATACAATTGCTAAGTTTAGACCATTTCAAAATTTTTTTTTTTTTTTTTAAAGATGACCGGTAAGGGGATCTCAACCCTTGGCTTGGTGTTGTCAGCACCACGCTCAGCCAGTGAGCGAACCAGCCATCCCTACATAGTGACCCGAACCCATGGCCTTGGTGTTATCAGCACCACGCTCAGCCAGTGAGCGAACCAGCCATCCCTACATAGTGACCCGAACCCATGGCCTTGGTGTTATCAGCACCACGCTCAGCCAGTGAGCGAACCGGCCATCCCTATGTAGGATCCGAACCCGTGGCCTTGGTGTTATCAGCACCACACTCTCCCGAGTGAGCCACGAGCCGGCCCCCCATTTCAAAATTTTTAAGGGAAGAGAAGAAATGTAGTGTTGACTTAACACCTTTAGAAATAGAATGCGATGCTTATATGTGAGATATTCTGTTTGGCTTTATGCTTATTTAGTTGTTCACATTAAGTTCAGTTTGCTTGTTGAAGTGAACAGTGAAAAAAGCTGTGTATCTGTCTGTCTGTCTTTCTGTCTGTCTGTCTTTCTGTCTATCTATCTATCTATCTATCTATCTATCTATCTATCTATCTATCTATCTAT